GGTTGAGAATGATGAGAAAAGAGGATAATCATAATAGTAATGAAAAAAATTACTGCCATTTTTGTGTATTTTCTCTGTGCCAGACAGTATTTTAAGTGCTCTATCAATATTATTTCAATCACACAACTCTATGAGGCAGATATTATTATCCCTATTTAACAGATTAGGAAACAGAATTAGAGAGACTGAGAAGGTCCTTGCTGGGTAAATGTTATTGAACCATAACTTTGTATTTAATTATGGGAACAAAGACTGGGCTTCGAGACTATTTGTATTAAGTGATATCTGTCTGGAGTAACATAAGCTAATTTTTTCAACATTTCAAGACAAAAAGCACTTTCTTAGCTTCTTTCTTCTTATTTTTGTACCCTTCACATGTTGTGGCCTAACACTACTTGATATTCCATATTGGGGCAACTTGTCCACTGGGCTTTTCCTAAGACTGATAAGTCCAATAATTAACATTATCCTTCATGGGAGGAAGACCAAGCAGCACTGGTGACCAGTACCTGCTTGCAGTTGGGAAATATGGAAAAAGAGAGCCAAACACAGGAAAGAACTAAGCTGAATACAGGAAAAGAACAAAGCCACTGTTTAAATAGGCATTGTGTTTTCTTTTTCCTTGAAAATCTTCATTTTTTGAAAATTTCAGACACTTGAAGTTTTCTAGCCTAACTCTGAGTTGGTATTTGATCAATCCATGGACAAGCTATTGGGAAATAGAAAAGATACAAGAATACAATACAAACCACTAAAATTAAAAAGATGTGGATGCATTCTGGGTCTTGAATTTTTTGGTAGTAAATACCTTCTTCTCTCTGGATAGCAACAAGCCTAGGAAGCAAGATCTCCGCTGGCTTGACCACTGGAGGAGTGGCAGTGTTCATTGGGCAGCCCACAGAGGTCGTGAAAGTCAGACTTCAAGCGCAGAGCCATCTACATGGCCTCAAACCTCGCTACACTGGGACTTACAATGCTTACAGAATTATAGCAACAACAGAAGGCTTGACAGGTCTTTGGAAAGGTAACTAACTTCGAGGCAGATTTTATAATCATCAAAACACATATATCCAACGGGCACCTTATCATAAAATAGAGCTAGTAAACATTTTCTTTTTTTTTCCAGGGACTACTCCCAATCTGATGAGAAATGTCATCATTAATTGTACAGAGCTAGTAACATATGACCTAATGAAGGAGGCCCTTGTGAAAAGCAAACTACTAGCAGGTAACTTCCTATTTTACAGAACACACAGTTCTGCACCTTTATAATTTCATCTTGGAGTTTCTGCAGCCAAATTAGACTCAAACTTTAATAATTTTCTCTTTTTAAAAAATTAAGTAATTTAAAACATTATATATGCATAACTTTTTGAGACATAGAAAAAGACCCAAACCTTAAGTTTAAGATGTTTTACTGCAACAGAAGTTTTTTGCAACAAAAATTTTTTTTGCTGTTTTGCTGCAACAGAAACAACATGGAATGTCATTCTGATGTCAACGTTATTCTTGTTTAATATAATACTAATATGTGAGACTTTTATTAGAATTTTATTCTTTATGCAGCAGAATTCAGGAAGTTAAGGTCCACCTTGTGCTATATTCAATAGAACTAGTTATATAAGGAGATTATCAGTGGTTTCATCCAAAAAATAGTACCATAAGATAGGTTCTTAAAAATAATATTCTAACCGTTTCTAGAGACATTAAAATTTCCTTGTACAATGACTTTTATTCAATGAAAAATTATTAGGTGCCCATATATTAGGCATCATGCCAGGCCCTAATGTCACAAAGAAAATTGACAGGTTATTTTCCTAGAGTGTTTACAATCCACTATGCCATTTATTATTTGCCATCTTTTTCTAGTACAAGTATAACCTTTCTTATTTTATTTCGTTTATTTATAAGACACCCACATTGACCTCCTGTTATCAACAGATTTACGAGGATCTGACAGATAACTAAAACTACAGCCCCCAAAAGTCTAATGTCGACCGGTTTCATTGATCCATTTTAGATGACGTCCCTTGCCACCTGGTGTCAGCTCTTATCGCTGGATTTTGCACAACACTTCTCTCCTCCCCAGTGGATGTGGTGAAAACCAGATTTGTTAATTCTCCACCAGGACAGTACACAAGTGTGCCCAATTGTGCAGTGACGATGTTCACTAAGGAAGGACCAACAGCTTTTTTCAAAGGGTAAGATATGATCTTCTGTATCTATAATGTGTTCAGGGTGTCCATGTGCTTTGGGACAGACACTGCCTCATCTAAACAATTGACATTTAGCGCACCAGCCTTAGTACATGCAGTATACTAGTGTTGACTTTTCCTTGCCCCAAATTCACCAATTGCACTGTGTCAGAAAATAAAAAACTGTGATACTAAAATTTTCCCAACCTTGATCAAAGGCTCATTGGAAATCAGTGCCCTTTCCACTGGAAGTTCTATGATTTCACATGATTCTATTCTACATTTTCTATAATATCTATTAGAAATATAGACAGTATTTTGCTTTCTCTGGGCAGAAGAACTACAAGTAGAGGGAATG